TTATTGCTTAAACATAGTACTTATCCTCGTTGTTGGTTCTATTGCTGTCTGCACAATGAGGATATCCACATCTTCATGGCTTTCTCCATTTGCGGGTATCCATCGAGACTGTAGATGAGACGATACTTATTTGTCTTGTTAACTAAAAACTCGATTTTCTTCACCGAGTCATACATGTCACCAGTGAATGTCATGGTTACTCCAACTCCGCCTTCTGTTCGTCTTTGGACATGTTAAAACCTACAAAAAACTTCATATGATTGTTCTAACTGTATCAGGTAAAACAGTTTGGTAAGTTGCACTACAGGTTGTGAACAATTTTGGATTTTCCCATTTGTTTCATTGAAACTTTTAATGTGTTATAGAGGACATATCCTCGAGGATAAAACGGGTGGTGGTAAATTTCCTGTTTAAACTGATGTGAGAGTCAAACATTTGAATGGCTGGATGATAACGCGTAACCATAACCATGGAAGGTACGACATTTTAACCCTTATTTCAATAAGCCAAAAATTACTTCAAAGCTAGTTCTACAATTTAAACCAATATTTAAAAAAAGGTATCCGTTCATAACTGGCGAACCGCTGGACCGATTGTTCACCAAACATGACATGTGCCCTTAGGGCCCTCAGGGAAGGGCATAGGAAGATTGGCATTCGGATCATACCCCCCCCCTCTGTCTTTCCTCATCATTTAAAAGGGTATATTAAAAGTATACAATAAAATAATCTGATGTGAACAGTTTGAGACTGGGTTCGTTTCTGGAAACTTAGTATCAATATGTAAATTGTGAACACAAGGTATAGTTTCATTTGTATAGCCACTCACGGTGGGTCAGTGGTAACTTTATGAACTTACAACGCTAAAATCTGGGGTTTGATTCCTCGTGGTGGACAGAGTTACGATAGTCCATTGTGAAGCTTTACGCCAAGAAAACCACAACAACAGCTCTTATAAAACATGCCATTCTTAAGAATTATATCAGTGATTCCTATTAACAAAACGGTGTAATATAATACTGGTTTAGGTTAAGAAAACGAATAGTTTGTTGGATGGTAATAAAAAAAATTGAAATATTGGTATATATATATATATTATCATTTTCCGCTTTGATATAATTCTCTCGAAGTTTGAATAAGGAAAACGTTCATCTTTTGTTCTGCTTGTTTGTTTGTTAAGCACAAAATCTACACACTGGTTTATCTGTGCTGTGCCCATCACGGGTATCAAACCCAGGTTTTTAGAGTTATAAGCCACGGAGGATCTAAACGTAAATTTAATGAAGAACAAACAAACAAAAAAAAGGCCCGGCATGG